TTGTGGAGGGTGAGAAGGTCTCCCCTGCTCCCTTTTCCTTCCCCTCCCCTCCCTCCAGTCTAATTAAGCCATGAACGTGGAAGAAAATGGCAGTAAAGAAATGATAGCTTTTGGCCCAAAGCCACACAATAGGTCAGTGGTTGAACAAGGAAGAAAACTTGTCTCTCCAGAGAGGTCTTTTTCTGTAGGCTTGTGTTGCTTCTTACAAGAATTTATCCTGTTAGGATAAAGGACCAAAATGGATTAGTATTTTATTCCTCAGGACAAGATGGCAAATGGGTTTTTCTGGACTTCCTATTTTAACATGCCATAAAATTCTACACTACAGCACAGACAAAAGGAATAGCATGTGTTGTTCTGTCTTAATCTTACTGTTAGCACTAAAGCTGAGAAATCTTGAGTTTTAGAGAAAGGGATGGATTTCACAAAAAAAAAAAGTTGAATGCTAGAAACTGCCTTGATTCTGTAAAAAAATGTATATGAAAAACACTTACTGCTGTAGTGTGACTGATGGAAATCAAAACCCCTTCTGAATATAGAACTCACTTTTTAATTTCATACAGTGACTTAGAGGACAGCAATAAACCTCCTGGAACTAGGACAATCATATGTTCTATGGGAGGGGAGGTACCTTGCTGTCTGAATTTTCCCTCACTTTCATTTCCAACCGAATAAAGGCAACCTGTGCCCCTTAGTTCTTGCCATGCTGATGGCCCACAGGGTGGTAGAAGGAGCACCACCTAAAGAGAATGGAAAGGATAATAATGCCTTTGTGGTCACATCCCTTCCTTTTTCTCTCCTCTCCGCCCTTACACCGTCAAGGAGAAGACAGAAAGTGGCATTTGGTTTTAGTGGTCTTAAAGGCAATTTCCTAACAGAATGAATTTTCTTTCTTAAAAACTTTCCCTGCATAGCTCTGCAATGATGATCAGATGCTCTATCTTTTCCTGAGCTGCTGTGGGCAATTGGGGTCAGGCAGCAGTGGTTCACTGTCAGGGATTTTGGCAGTATTGCATGTGGTATATTGTAACTGAATGCTGACTCTTTTGAAATCACTCTTGGTGGCTCACTGGGCTCTTAATTCCAGAGAACTTTGGGGGTTTTATGATGTAAGCAGATTGCTAAATCTCAAAAAAAAAAAAAAAAAGGTTGTGTTCTATTTAGTATCTATCTTCAATACAGCTATTCAGAGTCAAGACTTCTCTCTCACTGCATTTCACTAGGTTTTGAAGCCAGGAGATGCTTTTATAGTTTCTAATTAAATTGCAGGGACAGCCTTTAAATGTATGGGGAGAGGGTTAGGCTTCCACCTCCTATGGCAAGTCAGCAGGAGTTTGGTGCTCTTTGGGATCCCTCCTGCAGTGCCTTTGGCATTTTGCAGTGTCACTTCCACAGCAGCAGGCGGGTGCAACTTATGAATAAAAATAAATTGAAAATGAATTTGAGAGGCTTGGTCTCTTTGTAGTTCAGTGAGTGTTCAGGGGAAGAATCACTTCCCTGGTCCTGCATGCAGTTCAGTTCCTGATCCAGGCCAGGATGCCATTGGCCTTCTTGGCCACCTGAGCACACTGCTGGCTCCTGTTCAGCTTCCAGTCTATCCAAACTCCCAGGTCCCTTTCTGCCTGGCTGCTCTCCAGCCACTCTGTCCCCAGCCTGGAGTGCTGCATGGGATTGGTATGGCCAAAGTGCAGGACTAGCACTTGGCCTTGTTAAACCTCATCCCATTGGAATCAGCCCATCTCTCCAGCCTATCCAGGTCCCTCTGTAGAGCTCTCCTGCCTTCCCGCAGATCAACACTCCCCCCCCCGACTTTGAGTCATCTGCAAACTTCCTGATGGTGCACTCAATCCCCTCATCCAAATTGTCAACAGCCATATTGGAGCATGGTATTTTCTCATGCTGCATTTATATCGTGTTTATCCCTGCAGTCACGCTGGTATACAGTATCAGTGAAGTATTTTGACAATAGTGGCAGTTTTGGCAATGGTGGATAGCATCTGCCATTTTGACTTAATGCTTTTGCCAGTGTTTATGTACTTGAATTGTATCCATGATGAAAACTGCTTCTGGTGCTCTTTGGAGGCCTTTTGAAGTGCTAATGAAGAATACCTAGTTTCTCAATTCAGCTGAAAACACAGAAGTCATATGACAGCTTAGCAAAAGCAGTTTCTTATGGCCACCAATATTTTGAAACTAAAACTGTTCTTTTTCTTGTGTGTTTATGTTTGCCTAGAAACTCTGTGAGGGAATTCTCAACATCCTTGAAAAAGACACAAAAACTTCATGTCAAGTCGTCTGCCTGGAAGCCCTCCGGATTCTCTCCAGGGACAAGAAGGTTTTAGTGCCTGTAACCACAAAGAGGAACATGCAGATCCTTATGAGGCTAGCAAAGCTGGACACTGTGGAAGATCCCTTGGAGAGAGTGTCTGAATTTCCTGTGATAGTAGAAGCTTTAAAATGCCTCTGTAACATAATTTTTAATAGTTCAGTTGCACAGAAGCTCAGTTTGGAACTGAATCTTGCAGCTATGCTCTGCAATCTTCTACGAAAATGTAAGGACCAACAGTTCGTTGATGACATTAAGTGCTTTGATTTGCGTCTCCTCTTCCTCTTGTCACTTCTGCACACAGATATTAGATCACAGTTGCGTCAGGAACTGCAAGGGGTGCAAGTTTTGACTCAGGCCTTGGAAAGTTCCCTGAGTGTAAGATGGACAGAAGAATACAAAGCAGCAGAAGATCGTGACAGGCCTCCTCTCTCTTTGCAAGAGACAGATTGTGCCATTGAGGCACTAAAGGCTCTATTTAATGTAACACTTGACAGTTGGAATGTCCACAGCAAGGTAAGGCTTGGGTGAAGTGTTTTATTCAATAGACTTTGTTTAGCCTCCAAGAGCCAGAAATAGCAGGTAGATACACAAGAGGTAGTTGTTGTTCAAGCCCCAGGGCAAGGATTTTCTTGATTGATTTTTGCTGCTGTAATTCTGATGGAAAATAGTTGCATTTTTCAAAGTGCAGCTAAGGTATCTTCACATTTTGCATCATCATTTCTCTATATGCAAAATCAGCCTGAAAAAATTTGTCTATCTGAATTCTGTATGTGACAAGTATTGATTATATTGGGCTTTCAAGAGGTGTTGAGTCTTTAATGCTCATTGCTTTGAATACCAAAATAGCCTTTTGGTTCTTAGGAGTTCATAGAATCATAGAATCAACCAGGTTGGAAAAGACTTCCAGGGTCATCAAGTCCAACCCTACTGTGGTTACTAGACCATGGCACTAAGTGCCACATCCAATCTCACCTTAAAACCCTCCAGGGACGGTGAATCCACCCCCTCCCTGGGCAGCCCATTCCAATGCCTGATTACTCTCTCCCTGAAAAATCTCTTCCTAATACCCAAACTGAACCTGCCCTGGCAGAGCTTGAGTCTGTGCCCTCTTGTCCTCCTGCTGATTGCCTGGGAGAAGAGACCAACCCCCACCTGACTCCAACCTCCTTTCAGGGAGTTGTGGAGGGTGAGAAGGTCTCCCCTGAGCCTCCTCATCTCCAGGCTAAACAACCCCAGCTCCCTCAGCCTCTCCTCATGGCACTTGTGCTCCAGTCCCTTCACCAGCCTCGTTGCTCTTCTCTGGACCTGCTCCAGCACCTCAATATCCCTCCTGAACTGAGGGGCCCAGAACTGAGCACAGGATTCAAGGTGTGGCCTCACCAACACTGAGTCCAGGGGCAGAATCACCTCCCTGGTCCTGCTGACCACGCTGTTCCTGATCCAGGCCAGGATGCCATTGGCCTTTTTGGCCACCTGAGCACACTGCTGGCTCCTGTTCAGCTTCCTGTCTCTTCAAACTCCTAGGTCCCTTTCTGCCTGGCTGCTCTCCAGCCACTCTGTTCCCCAGCCTGTAGTACTTGTTACTGCTTAGACAAAAAAAAAAATCCTTACATTTTCTATGTAGGTGGAGAATAGCTTGGATTATATAATGCAAGTTAAAACTGTATGGTTTTTAATAAAAAATGTTTCATCGGAGTCTTAGATTTCCCAAAGAACATAAATGTTATTCATTAATAATTTGCTGGCTAGGAAAAACTGTTTAATGTAAGTTTATCAGATGACTATAGCTCTAGTGGTCATGGACTGCAGCAATAGAGAGTCCCTAGTTTTCCTCTGTTTTTCTGATAATGATGATAAACGCATCAACTCTAATTTTTAGCAAATAGCTCTGGAGAAAGAGTGGTACTGTTTTTGCTATGTTTGTCTTCCATCCTCCCAACACCAGGTTTGGACTTAAATGTCATCTCTTAAGATGAGATCCAGTACAAGAACCAAATATACTTTCATTGTTATGTCTTAGAAGATTTATCTTGATTTTTGCATTATAACATCAAATCTTTCTTTTTCCTTAGATAAATTTGCTTCCTATGTATTGCATCCCTAAATTTATAAACAGAAATTATAAGGATAACTTTGTCATATAACCTAAGTCTGTGCTGCAGGAATAGAATTACATAGGGGATCTTTCTTTTTAGGTCACATCATGTTGTCTCTTAAACTGTGTTGTTAACTTGTCACTGAGAATTGTGAATATGCAGCATATAAAGCTAATCAAAAGTCTGCTGTAGTTAAAACTGACAAGTAATTGCTCTCTTCAGTGCTTTGGGCTAAACAGACATTAATCATAACTTTAAGGAGTGTAAAAAAATCTGAAGTTTATTCTTTGCTTCAATGTCTCAAGGATATGCTGAGTAAGAAATCCTGAAATTTAAAATTGAGTGAGGGGGGATCAGAGAAACTAATATTTTGGGTTTCAAGGTAATAAATAAAGTGAAGTTTCTGTCTTTTGCTTATATTCCCGACTTCAACCTTTATTAGAATTATCTTTAACTCTGTCAGAGAAAGGTCTTTGCCTAGACAAATGATTGCTTTGGAGGTAGAAAAGCCTGTTATGGCCATATGGAAAGCTGGAAAATGTAGCTGTATTACATGTTCACCTCTTGGGAAGTAAGCTCCTGAAATCTGGGTCTTGAAGTTGGTTTAGCCTCACAGAATACTGTTGATCTGGAGAATTATAACATCCAGTGACTGCAGAAGGGTGGGTGGGAGATGGCATACAGGTGTGGCACTACCTGATGAGCTTTTGTGTGACCACTATCTGTGGAGTGAAGGAGGGTTTGCCCCACAAAGCTTTTCCTCCTGGGAGCGCCCAAGCATGAAGGTTTGGTGTTTTAAATGAGAGTTAAAGACATCTTTGGGTGGAATAAACTTATTTTGTATTTTGAGATAAGATTATCAAATAACTCTTTCCTAGAAGCTCCTGAAAGCAGGGAACCTTCAAAGTGAAGAGCTTTTTAGTACTTGTAAACTGTTAGCAGATCTGTTAGGTGACGTTGTGCTTAGTGGATGTCCCGGTGGCAGTACTGATGATCTGTAAGAAGAGTAAACCCCATGTTAATGAAGTGGGCTGGAGATGCAGAGTTTTAAGAGATTCCAAACAGTAGACAGGATGGAAAATAAAAGGAGAACAGAGAGGTTAGGCATGTAGGTAGAAAACTAAATGAGATCCATCCTAAGGGGGAGAGAACCATTTGAATCACTAGTGTTTAATGACTGGAGATGGTTTCAAAGTGGCGAAGCCAGACAAGAGCTGCAGGTGGTACAGTTGGCAGATTTGGATGCTGATGCTACAAAAGATGCATTGGGATGCTTTGTGCTAGGTCAAACACCAGAACATACGATGGATGCCAAAAAGAGTTATTGAAAAAGAGTGAGGACAACGATACACAGAGTGAAATGATTGCAGTTACTGGTGTACTTTTGTGTGGCTGCTGTCCGGTGGGAAATTGGAAGGGGGAATTCCTTGGAGAGAGCAAAAGTAGCGCAAATAAGGTTGCTGAGAAGTTGTTAATGAAATGGAGGAAAGGTATCAAGGGAACAGAAGCAAGGGAGTTGGGAAAAGAGACATACTGGGTGGAAGGTATGAAACTCTTGGCAGGAAAAGGCCTAAGTGAGGAGAAGGCAAATGAAATGAAGAATGGGTGTAGTCTAAATGGATGGAGAGGTGGCCTGGTGTAAATACAAGAAGGAAGGTAGAACTCCTGTATTAGGAATAGTAGTATGGAATTAGGAAAATGCTTGTAATTGTGTTTTCTCTTAGTGGAGGCTCATTGAACTGGACTTTTCCAAGGCCCAGTTCAGGGTCAGCTTATAGACATGACATGTTAAGCGTTCAGTGAGCTCTAAGGTACAGTCCTTTTATTGCTAGGGATGGATGTTATGATCTAATAGGTATTTTCCATCTTTAATTTTTATTATTCTAGTGACCTGAAACCCTCACTTGCAATCTTCAAAATGAAAAAATATCTTCATAATTTATATTTATATAGACTGAATCTCATCAATTTCGTTACATGGCTGCCATCCTTCGACACTGCTTATTAACCACGGGCCCCACCGAAGACAAAACTGAAGAGTTGCACAGGTTGGTAGATTGCAGAACCAATCTATGTTAAAAGATTTTTGTTTGGTTTGGGGTTTGGTTTTTTTAAAACAAACTATTTTGCCTGAAATCTGAAGTGGAAATCTGAGAAACAATGGAAACTATTTATTTTGAGTAAAATATTAATCCTTTTTTGTATGAAAGCTGTTTGCCTCAAATGTCATTTCAGCATATCTACTGTTCCAGAGAGAAAATGGCTGGAAAGATTGGTATTTTCTGTCAATGAGAATGGGGCTCACCTTTTTGAAATGTATTTATTTTTGTGTGCATGTGTATGTGTCTGAGGATGAAAACACATGTGGAGGTTCATGGGGCCATACAGATTGAAGTGGAATGTAACTTCTGTTGTTTTGCATAGAAGCTGATGGAAAAACTACATTTTGAGATTTTCATATGAAACTCTTGCAAATCTGATGGATTGGGGTACAGTAACAAGTTGATATTTTATCTCCAATGCTTCTAATATTCTCCAAACATTACTCCAAAGATTTGTACCTTGGTAATAATACCTTTTTTTTTCAGAGACAAGTGACTCATCATGCTGTTTTCTTAGAATCATAGAATTATAGGTCATCTAGTCCCAACCCCCTGCCCTGGGCAGGGACACCTCCCACCAGATCAGGTTGCTCAAGGCTTCATCCAGCCTGGCTTTGAACACTGCCAGGGTTGGGGCAGCCACAGCCTCCCTGGGCAACCTGTGCCAGTGTCTCACCACCCTTACAGTAGAAAACGTTTTTCTAACATGAAAGGTGATTTTAGGTGTGTGTTTTTGGTTTTTTCCCTCAGTCTTGCACCCAACTGTTCTGTATTTGCAGCCAATAATTTAGTCAAAATTCAGATTATTTTGAGTGAGGTGCTGGTTCTGTGCTCAGTGTTATTGTTCTTTTTTCATGATACCCTTATTTTGATTCAAGTGGGTCAGCTTTTCATAGGGCCTGGCAGTGCAGTAGCTTCAAACACAACCCCATGTTATCTCTCAACAAGGAAAGATAGTGTTGCCATTTTCTTTTTCAGAGAGATCTGGAGATCTAAGCACAGGATCTTCTGAAGATTTTCTGAACCAGCAGTCTCTAGGAAGAAGGATATAGCTTTTCACACCCAGTATTCTTGAAAGTGTTAAAGGAACTTGATTAAAATCTTGGAAATCTCTTAGAGATCAACAGTCTTAGTAGGTGAACACTGAAATTCTACATCAGAGCCCCTCTCAGCTGATGCATACTCGTTTGGAATAATTTAGGATACTGCTGCAATAGTTGCCATGACTGAAGTTATGCTGTGTCCTAAAAGGCAGTCAGTGTTTTCCCTTGGCTGCTGCTTATGGTGGATGTTTGCTGTCGCCCTCCTGTAAGGGAGGGACCGGTAGGAGTGAATTCCCCACTGCTGGGAGAATTTTAGTTTTGGATAAGTTCAGCAACTGCAAGAGAGCCCAATATTCTGTTGAATTACTGTGCAGTTGATGCTCTTCCCAAGTTCTGTCTCCTTGTCCAGAAATCCAACTAGCCTAATCACCCTATTAGGTATATCTCCCTGTAAATTTAATTATCTTGTGCTGTTACAAATGGATGTGTGTCAGGCAGGCCCTTTTGCAAACACTTGCAAATGAGATCCAAAAATGGCCTTACATAAAGAAGTAGGCAGGTGTGAGGAATGTGTAGTGTTGGTGTGGTTTCTGTGCTTTTTTCAGTCAGAAGGGACACTTGGTGTAGTGATACAGCCCACAGGGAGACATTGGAGACACCAAGTCCCCTCAAAGGTTCTCCATACTTCTGAGAGGGGAAAGCAAAAAAAGAAATAAGGATGGATATCACTGCCTTGTGTTGCTTCAGTTATTTCCCCTTCTCTGTCAGGCTCAGGATAACACTGTATCAGGCTTTCTGTTATGCTGAGAAAACAACTTTCTCCCTCTGTTAGCCAGCTGTAGTTGGTTCAGGTTCATAAAGAATGCATGTAGTCTTTGATCTTGATTCCCGTGCTGGAAGATCACTGTGCAGGTTTTGACTTTTGCCACTCAGATATTTCAGCCCATTTGCAGAACCTGAGTTTTGTCTTGGAATGCTGCAGGATGCAATAAAAGCTGAATAATTGAATACACTTTTCCACCAGACTATTTGTCAGAAGGCAACTCTGGAATAGGAAAGCTTTAGTCAGAAGTGACACCCCTGCAGATCCTCAGAGGGAAAGGGATTGAGACCTGGAGCAGAAAGGCCCCGTTTCAGTCTGCTGATGTATTTGGACAAGCCGAACTTTAGTTCCTGATAGGAGCTTCACTAATGAATGAGTAAACTGTTGGTAAGCTGTTAGCAGTATAGCTACAGCAGTGAGGCTGTCACCATTTCATCTGTTCAGTGTGCTGGACTCTGACCATGCCGTCTTTATTGCTAGAGATGAGGTGTGGGTTGGAGAGCACAGTGCAACTTTCAGCTCTCCTTTCTACCTGGAGCCTCTCAGGAAGGCAGTGTTAAAAATGAAAGAAAACACAGTGTTGAATGCAGAATAAACCTTATGAACCATATTTCTTAGGATTGCTGATCACTTCCTAAGTTTGTAAATCTGCAGAACATGAGATGCTTCAGTGACGGGTTTGGGCAGCCTGTTAAAGCGCAGCGTTGGCATGTTTGTGCTCTGAGTGTGTATGTGGAAGGTTTATTTGGTGTGAACATCAAATGTTGTCCCATGCCCTGAGCTATGATTGTCAGCATGACTCTAGTTCTAATAAATAAGCATAAGTTACCTGTAAAAATATCTTAATTTAGTACCCAGTATTGTTGTCATTGTTGTGGTTCTGTCATGCTATTACTTAATGTTTGGATATGAACAGCTCAAAGTAGCATATACTAGAGCAACTGCTGTTTTTGCCCACTAACAAGGTTTTAATCAAGGCATTCATCGACTCTAAATAGGCTTTTTCTTCTGAATTTGCATATCAGGAGGGGGCTGGGAGCATGAGTGGGTGGATGTCATGTCCCAGTGATTAATGATCTCTAGGAAGCTGAAAAGGGGAGAGTAATATACGCAGTATTCCTACCCCCTGGAGTAGGAATGCAAACACTATTGTGCAGATCAGTGCATAGTCACTGACTTCCTGGTAGCTGGAGAATTTCATACACTCCTCTTCCACAAATAAAACTGTCAGTGGAGTGGCAAAGATCAGAAAGCTGGGCTTCATTTATTGAAAAGAATAGCTCAGACACAGTGATCCAGAAAATTAATTTTGTAGGTGTTTGGGAACTTGGTTGTTTAATAAGAAACTGGTAAAAAGAGAACTTTTGATGAAAGACCTGAAGCCACTAAGTATTTGTTGAATTTCAGTCTGTTTTGTTTCTGACTGTTCCTGAATTATTGGAGAGGAATAACTTCCATGATATAAAAGGCCTATCTTGAGCAGGAATTAGAAACTAAACAAAGAGAACAAGCCTTCCCAAAAGTAATAGTTGTCTGAATTTCAATTGCTAAAAGAACAAAAGGGAGATGGCACAGAGTAGAAGAGCCACCCAGTCTGACCAGGCCAGAACCAGCACATTTGTTAGAATTCTAGAATTTTAGAGGTTGGAATGGACCTTAGAGATCATCCAGTCCCAACCCCCTGCCCTGGGCAGGGACACCTCCCACCAGAACAGGTTGTTCAAGGCTTCATCCAACCTGGCTTTGAACACTGCCAGGGTTGGGGCAGCCACAGCCTCCCTGGGCAACCTGTGCCAGTGTCTCACCACCCTCAGAGGAAAAAATCTTTTTCCCAATATCTAAGCTAAATTGGCCCTCTTTCAGTTTGTACCCATTACCCCTTGTCCTGTCACTGCAGCTCCTAACAAAGAGTCCCTCTGCAGCTTCCCTGGAGCCCCTGCAGATCTGGAAGGTGCTCCAAGGTCTCCACACAACCTTCTCCAGGCTGAACAGCCCCAGCTTCCTCAGCCTGTCCTCATAGGGAAGATGCTCTAGTCCATTACATCTGTTCATAAGTTTAGTTGGACATCAGCAAGTAAATGGTGACAGAATTGTAATTTTTGCTGCATCTGTGTAATTTAGCCCAATACTCATGAATGGTGCAAGCACAAGTCTGTACAGTGAGAACAGGTAGATAGCAAACTTGAGAGATGTGTACCAACAAAGAGACCCTTGCAAATTAAGTTCCATCTTACTCCACTAAAGAGTAGGGAGGAACCCTGTGGTCTAATTTAAATCACTTCATGGCTGTTTGGGAAGTGCTCCTCTCTGTGGCAAGACTGCCAGTTACTGAAAGGCAGTGCTTGGTAAATAAACCTGAACCTTTTTTAATGTGTTAAAAGCCTTTGCTATTTCTTGTATAACTCAAGCTAAATAAAGGTGAACATATTTCAGGGGACCTAAGAAACTACCACATGCCCCACTGTTCCAGGAGAAGGAGGAAATGTTTTCTGGGGTGTACTTTCATAGACTGATAGAATTTAAGGGTTGGAATGGACCTTACAGATCATCTAGTCCCAACCCCCTGCCAGAGGCAGGGACACCCCCCCCCTAGATCAGGTTGCTCAAGGCCTCATCCAGCCTGGCCTTGAACACTGCCAGGGTTGGGGCAGCCACAGCCTCCCTGGGCAACCTGTGCCAGTGTCTCACCATCTTCACAGGAAAAAGCTTTCTTCTCACATCCAGCCTAGACTTTCCCTCCTTCAGTTTGAACCCATTTCCCCTTGTCCTATCACTGCAGTTCCTAACAAAGTGTCCCTCTCCAGCTCCCTTGTAGGCCCTTCAGATATTGAAAAGTTGCTCTGAGGTCTCCACACAGTCTTGGTGAAATGTTTTAAGTTTCAAGGAGGGAGACACTGCCCGCTGCAGATCAATGTGAGAGTTCCCCCTGCTGTCCTGCGAGATCAGCTGCTGGAGCTCGCAGCTGGAAGCTGTGCCTGAGCCCTGGGATGGGGTACTGTGGGGGCTGGAAGTAAAACTCACTGCTGCAGTATTGTTGGGGGGCTTTTTTTGTCTTCTTTCTTGTTTGTTCCGAGAGCTAGCACTCAGGCAAGAATGCAGGCCACCTTCTTCAAAGTCCAGAGAACAGAAAATAAAAGCCTTGCTTGAGTTGTAGCGCCTCTGTTTGAGATAAGCAGTTTAGGGTGAGTTGTACTCTGTTTTTAATTCTTCCAAATGAATAATGAATTTTTAAAATCTGTTTCAGCAATGCAATCAACCTCTTAAGCAATGTTCCTGTTTCTTGCTTGGATGTTCTTATTAATCCGTCGGCCGAAGAACAAACAGATATCAAATACAATGGTATGAATATGAGAGCAATTCAGATCTTACTGGATTTCATGGAGAAGAGAATAGACAAGGTATGTTCTGCAGGGGTTCTTCACAAAAGGAGACTGATGAAACCAAAATGTAAAGCTTCTTATGGACCTTTCAGCCAGTATTTAGCACAAATGTGGATGTCCTTCCTACTAGGCTGTGAGACACCTCAAAACTGAGAACAAGTTCCTGTGACTGTCTGTAGCAGACTTGGTTGTGTGATGTGTGTGTGATCCTGTGGCTCTTCATTCTTCTATGTGGAAGGTTCATATTTTGGCTGTCATACAGAACTCCATTGAAGTGTTCATAGAATTTGAAAAGGAAAATTTGGTCTTACATTGTTTTGATTGTGTTTGGTTTTGTTTTAGGGAAGCAGCTACAGAGAAGGTCTGACTCCCGTTCTCAGTTTATTAACTGAATGCTGCCGAACTCATAGGAATATCAGGAAGTTTATCAAAGCTCAGGTAGGTAAAATATTCACTGAGGTTTGAATATGAAGCTAATGCTAAACTTTGAGGTTTGTACATCAGTACAGGACAGTGTTATAGCAACAATTTTTCAGTCATGTATATCAATAGATATTATGGCCTAAGTTCCATGGTGTGTTTTGTAGAGCTGTTAAACAATAGCATCAGGAATATTGTAAAGCTGTGTTAGTGTTACCATGGATTGTGTGAGACAGGGCCAAACGTCTCGGTGAGGTCTGTCCTCTCACACCCAGCATATAAAAACCATTTCAGTGCAGCTAATAAAACTTAGCAGAGTTGTGTGTTAGTCAGTGAGAATACAGGTGTTTCCATTGGTTCTGTTGGAGATTTTGTTTGACCTCAGCAAGCAAGAGTTACTGGCATTGAAATCTGTGTACCAGTGTATATCCGCTGTCGTGTCAGAGTGCAGCTCTGTCCCTGAGCAGAGGCACACTGATTGCTCAGGCTCTTAAAGAGCTGTTTAATACAGCGTGGACTGTGGGTAGGCTTTTTACAGGACAAAAAGATTACCCTGCCATGGTTAAGGAGCTAAAGGGTCTCTGTAGCTTGGTGGTCAGGTGTGGTGTTTTCTCTTTTGCTGCTTTTCCTGAAGTTGAGTGAAGAGAAGTTAAACAATGAGCAAGGGAAAAAGAGCTGAAATCAGCTGAGAAATGTTCGTTTTCCTAAGCTGCAGGAATTTTTGGGTTATATCCTAGATGTTGCTCCCAGATCAAAGCTCTGCCTGAATTCACAAATGGAGTTGAAAGTGGAAAAGAGCAATATATGTTCTGCTTTTTTCATCTGTACCAGAAAAGGGATTTTGAGGAATTTAAGAAGCTCATTACTTGCTGTTTATTGCTTTGTTCACAGCAGTTCTTTCCTAGGATACTCTGGTGATCTGTTAACTAGAATAAAATAAGTTGCAGAGCCAAATGTTCAGAAGCTAGAAAATGAAGTTGTCTGCATGTTTCCACTACATCTTGGCATCTAGACATCAGGATGTAATTGCATGCTGACTCCTGCCACAGGACCACAGCCTCATATAGTGCAGGGCAGGGATGGATCCTGCTAACTGCACAGCTGAATGTTTGATATTTGAATTGCCCTTATTGTTAAGTGTTGGTCTTAGGTTTTATTTTTTGTGCACTATTCAAATTGTGGTCTGAAGACAGCATGATTAACTTCCTCATGGCCTATCCTATGGCACTCAGCACTGTGTTAGTATTAGAGGACTGTAAAAACGTTAATTCCTTCTTAAAACATACTGTGAATTGGCACTCATGGTACTACCCCCACTGGGGAAAGTAAGCAGGGACAAAGTAAAATGTTTTTGCTAATTGCTTGAATACTTAGTTTGAAAAAAAGACTGGGTCTGTTTTTTTCAAAGTAGTCAATACTGTAGCATTTGTATAAGTCTCTGTTCCCAGTGAGTCCAATTTCGGTAGTAATTGTGCAGTGTAATTTTGCACAGAACATTACATTTTACATTAGACACCTAGAAGACAAAGGACCTGCAATTTCTCATGACAATTAATGACATCTTTTGTTTCATTCCCTAGGAAGACATTGAAGTTCCATAATTCTTATTAGAGTCTTCAGATGATTAAATAGTTGATTCTATGGTCCAGATTTGCTTGCAGATCATAGAATATAGAATTTTAGAGGTTGGAATGGACCTTGTGGATCATCCAGTCCCAACCCCCTGCCTTGGGCAGGGACAACTCCCACCAGAGCAGGTTGCTCAAGGCTTCATCCAACCTGGCTTTGAACACTGCCAGGGTTGGGGCAGCCACAGCCTCCCTGGGCAACCTGTGCCACCCTCACAGGAAAAAACTTCTTCCTCATATCTAACCTAAAGTTAAACCTCTTTCAGTTTGTACCCATTGCCCCTTGTCCTGTCACTGCAGCTCCTAACAAAGAGTCTCTCTGCATCTTCCCTGGAGCCCCTTCAGATCCTGGAAGGTGCTCTGATGTCTTCACGCAGTCTTCTCTTTTCCAGGCTGAACAGCCCCAACTCCCTCAGCCTGTCCTCATAGGGGAGATGCCCTAGTCCTCTTAGCAACTTCATGGCCTCCTCTGGACTTGCTCTGACGACAGTTCATGTCCTTATTATATTGAGAGCACCATAACTGCACGCAGTATCATATCATATATCCTGTGAATGTGAAAAAATTAATGTAGGTTTTATACCTGAAGTCATACATGCAAGGAGGCAAAAGTTAGTTTGCAAAAGAGCCATTATTCAAGCACCTCCTGCCTGTCTCGGGGGCTGAAGTTAACAGTGACATCGAATGAGAAAATAGTGTGTTTGAGGAAATGTTAAATAGTCTTTTCTCCAAAATCTGTCTGAAATTCAACTGGAGATTTTAAACTAGTGCTTTCTGGGAGAAGTGCACATCTCCTCTAGACATGTAGAGCTCAGGTCTTGAAATATAGTAGTAGAAACTTGTTGTAGAACTTGCAATGTGACTTACTTTCCTGCTTTTTCATTGTATCATTGTTGTGTATAAAGTACACATCATATTAATATTTTAAATTTCCTTGAGCTTATATTTACAATGCTTTTACCAGCTATATGAGCAAAACAGAACAGAGAACATGAGGTTCCTGATGCTGGTTTGACCAGCTCTTTTGGGACACCCATTTGTGCTCAGAAACCCCTGATAACTGTATGTTGAAAGTCTACATTTGAGGCTACTTTTCTGCCTAGGCTGACAGAACAGAAGGTCTAAATACATTAAGAAGCAAGAGCCATTACTAATGCTCTTGGGGTTTGTTTTGAAGAACAGAATGTAGAGTTTTTTCTTGTTCTGTTGACTGTGTTTGATTTTGCAAGAACTGGATAGGTATTGCTATGCATTCTATGATGTTCTTCCTCTTCTTTGGTGCTGCTAGGTATTACCTCCACTAAGAGATGTGTCAAATCGTCCCGAAGTTGGCACAACAGTGAGAAACAAACTCGTGCGCCTTATGACACATGTTGACCTTGGAGTAAAGCAAATTGCAGCAGAATTTCTTTTTGTCCTTTGTAAAGAGAGAGGTAAAAATGACTTTCTTCTCCCTTTTCTATGAGGTCTTGCTGTGATTAGGATATTTGCCTTGTGCTGTAACTCTCAATTCTCATAGCACTGCAGTGGGTTTGGGTTTGTAGCTGTTTGTGGCAGAATGGTTTTCTGTGTTGCTCTTTGCAGTTGACAGCTTGTTGAAGTATACAGGCTATGGCAATGCAGCAGGACTGCTGGCAGCACGGGGCCTGTTAGCAGGAGGAAGAGGAGATCATTGGTACTCAGATGATGAAGACACAGATACAGAAGAGTACAAATCTGCAAAACCAAAGTATAGTATTGTTTTCAATTCTGTATGTCCTGTTGCAACTTAGATTTTTCTTGACATAAATGTTTTTGTTAGCACCTTTTCCAGACAGTCCAGTTTTGGTCTTAGATGTGCTTATATTAACTACTGTCTTCTGACGAGTTCCTGATCTACTTACTGAGAAATATGCCTCTAATAGTGACCATAGAATTATCAAGGTTGGAGGAAACCTCTAAGATCATTGAGTCCAACCAGTCACCTGTCACTGCTGTAACCCCTAAACCATATCCTGCAGCATCAGATCCAGACACCTCTTAAACACCTCCAGGGATGGTGTCTCCACCTCCTTGTGCCATCATGTAGTCAGATGGCTCCAGGGGGAAAACTAAACCACTATGAGAATGATTTAACTTCAGACTGAATAGCTATTTAAAATTCAAACGTGGAAATAGATTTTTAAGCAAATTTTAGAAAAAAAATTAGTAACAAACTCAGCAAGGATGGCTTTTGCCTTAGGTTCTCCAGGAGCTCACATGAAGTTGCCAAACTGCTAACTGTTGCTAGAGGAAATAAATGTGTCAGGTATGGTTTTAACTGGAACTTTGTTTAAAAGGAACAAAGCAGTAGGTCCAGTTTTAGTTTTTGGTGTAGTTTCAGTTTTTGGTCTAGCTTCAGATTGCCTGATACTAAAATTTTCCTGTAGATTCAAGTAGGTCTCATATATAAATATGGAAGGAGCAAAAGAACTTCTATAAAAATTCTACATTAAAAATTGATTGTGTTTGTTGGATTCAGGGACCACACAGAAACTCTGTGTTGATTTTTGTTAATTAGTTGATTTGGTGTTAGACATGTCAGTTTGTCATGTTACGTCTAAGATTGGATGCCATTTTCAGTAGGTCCTGAAATCGTTGATAGCGAAGAAGTGATTTAGCATGTTATGTTTCTGGTTTGCTCTGTTTCCCTTGACTTACACAGACATGGTTAGGTGTGTGATAGGGGAGATTGTGGCTTATTGAAAGAGTCTTAGTAATGAAAGGGCAGGATTAAATGTATGAAAAGTGAGGAGATGTCCCTGCCCATGGCAGGGGGAGTTGGGTCCAGATGATCTGTAAGGTCCATTCCAACCCATAAATTCTATGATTTATGATTGTATGTATGTGTCATGCAGTTCCCTTTTCGTGTCATTATTACTAATGACATTTCCATTGTTGCCGTCATGATTCCTCGACTCTCAAACTGCTCCTGTGGGGATTCTCAGACAGCAGGTACTAGCAGACTCTGCATTGCTGAGCAGCCAAGAAGAAATTAGTACAGTGAATCAACAAGAAGTTGCAGTCATGGTGCACGAGAAAAGGCTAGAAAAGGGTACAAATAGGAAGGTTGGCTATTCACAATGAAAACTTTCATGTGTAGTTCAGTTTTAGTCTTCATGGTTTCTGGTCATTTCTTCCTCTTTCCTTCTATTAAAAAGATATAAAATTTACATATTTCTACAGAAATATAAACCGTGTTGTTTTTCCATCTCCAGCATTAACCTTATCACGGGTCACTTAGAAGAACCAATGCCCAATCCGATGGATGAAATGACAGAGGAACAGAAGGAATATGAAGCTATGAAGCTTGTCAACATGTTTGATAAACTTTCCAGGTATTGTACTGGAGCTGCTTTTGAGAGAGGCAGCTTGTATCCTGGCTCTTCACTGTGGTCCAGAGCTTCAAAATGGTGCTTGAATCAACTTCTTTGCAGGATTAGGATCACTGTAACTGCAGACAAAAATGTTTAGCACTTCAAAGCAGAGAGTAGTGCATGTTACTGAACTTCAGAGGAAACCTCTTTCGGAGAGGATTGGACAGGGTCAGGGAGATCCTAGTGGTGGGGGGACCTGACTCCTGCATAGATAGGCTGATGATAATGCAGAGACTCTCTTCTTTGAAAGTATGGGACAAAATCCAAGCCCAGGGCAAGTGTACTCATTTTCCCCAAGTCAATGAGCAGCATCTCAGTGTAACTACTTATGTGTGCTGCTTATATGAAGGACAAATATAGTGTGAAAATAGTTGTCATTGGAAACAATAGTATAACAGAGCAATTAAAAAGGAATTTTCATTTAAGACTTGTGGATTTATTAGGTTAAGTCTGGACTGGATTACAAATGAGCCTTTACAATTTGTTTTATGTAACTATGGTAATGCCATGAAAGAAAATGGTGACATAAAGGTGGACAGTATTGATTTTGTTTTGTAACTTTCTGTGTACAAAAAGGGAACCAAACCTGTGCTGTTAGCTGGGGCTTCTTTTCTCTTGGACTCAGTATGCCTAGAGTTTACTGGGTTTGATTTCCCCATACATTTAGCCATGTTGGAGTGATTGCTTTTGTAGCTTGTTTCCTGCATAAGCAGAATTTTATATTCTTGAGGAGCACTTAATGTAATACTAATTCACCATTGAACTGAGCTGTAGGAGGTAAATTTATAAGTGGATCATTCTTCAAACATGGGAAAACTCAGCAGCTAGAAACGTGTTTGTCTTGTGAGAGTCTGTAGATACTCAAACAACAAGATCTGTTGAGAGAAATTCAGTGAAACAAGTGTTTTTAGATCTCTGTTAAAGATTAAGAATGCAACAGAAGATATGGGAGAATTTGGATTTCATGTTAGCTGTCAAAGAATGAATTACAAGCAGGATCTATAGCAGAGAAGGAACTTGGAACAACTGATCTCAGCCTGTCAGTGAAGTAATTGGATACTTTTTCACATTATTTGCAAGAGGAACAAGTGTGTGTCATAGTCTTTTTGATAAAGAGAAGAAAATACAGTGCACATGGAATCCTAATTGAACTGGTTTGTCAAATGGAATGATTGCTATCTCAGCTGGAGAATTAAGATGCTGAGCATCAAGTGTACTAAAATGACTAAATGGTCTAAAACTCTTTTAAAAGAGAGATTGAGACTGGAGATAAACTGAGAGAGAAGACAAGTCAGTTGCTGTCACTACAGGAGTTAGACAAAACCTCCCAATGGCCTTACTGTTGCATAAGAGCTTTTTCAGTTTGGAGGATCAGAGACACCTGCTGCAGTGCCTGCTACAAACTGACAATAGCTGAGCAGCTGGTGCCCTGTGTCACCACTTATCCTCTTGGCTGGTGGCATTACTGTCACCTTGGGCTCTCTGTGTTGGTTACATCCACCTGCGGTTTCTGCTGTAGTACTTAGACTGCAAATGCCTTAGAGCTGGATCTTTTTGTCATAAAGTTTTTGTTTGTTTATTTAGTATAGTGGTTACTGGGGACAGTGTTGTTGATGTGACCCCTTTAGGTGCTGTGAGACCATGAATAAAATGATTTGACTGTTCTTCCCACACTTTTTGTTTCACTAAAAATCGGGGAGGAGGGAAATGCTGGCAGGAAGGAAAAGGAAAGTCAGACTTGGTTTGGGGAAGCTGTGGGTTGTTTTCGTGAGTGTCATTGAGTGCAACTGTGGGCTTTGCAGATGCTAAGTAAAATGGGGAGCTGCCAGGCTTGTATGCAAGGAGGAGTTGGTAACATGCTGATAGTAGTGGGAGTCCTTCCATGTTTTTGGAATAGGACACTTGTGCCTCCAGCTTGAGCCCTTCAGTACTGGGAGTTTTCAGAGACTTAAATCTATGTGGAATGTACTTTCTTCCCCTTTTTTTGCATTCTACAAACACAAACCAGAGGTTGCTTTGGTAGGAGGCTTCAGTTTGAATCTTGCTTTGAGGCAGACTTCCGGGACACGCTTCCTACTTGTGCTGGTCTTTGTTGTTGTCATTGTAGGAGGAAACATAAGCCATGAGCAGTTTCAGTTTGGTGCAGTGCTTTGCTGATAAGAGGGGAGGAGGTTGAACAGGAGCAAACAGCTGCTTCTCATCTTGTGAGTTCATGTAACTTTATCTGTGTCACTTGAACAAGAGCTTAGAGTAAACCTGCACGATGTACAGCAGAACTGATTTGCTTAGGACACTGGTAATGAAAGTTCAGCTTTAAGGAGCTGGCACACATTTACTGGAGAAAGGTGTGGAAAAAAGTGTTGAAGGACTACGAACTTGCTTCTCTCCCTGACTGATGAGGATGATCAAGACAGTCTGTCACTAGGGTATCCTAGATTTGCCTTTGACTGGCTGAGTATCATTTTTGGCAGTTTACCTAATGACAGATTGAACTCAGAAAACAAATTTGCACAACAGTACGACTGCATTCCCTACTGGCTGCTGAGTGTTTACACTGGTGCCTTTGTAGAGGTTTATTGAAGCTATAAGTAATAAAGGGACATGTTTTCCCCTTGTTCCATAATACGCCAGTGGATTTTTGCTTTTCCAGTTTCTCTTTATTTTCAGCATTGGCACTGAAAAATTGAAACTTTTTGAGGTGATGTAAAAGTGATTCATGGTCATTTCAGGTCATACTTCCCAAGTTTTTCTGTTCTGTTAGGTTGTTGATGTTTAGGCTGTTCTTGAGGTAATTGACCTTTGACAAGGCTAAATTGAAATGAATCATCCAGTTTTGATTTATCAAAATACGTGTGGGAACGGTGAATGTTGTTTGTGAATCCATTTCCTCTGACCCAGTATTTTAACATAGACTTGGGTTCTACGAAAGCTTTTGCTGAAATTTGGCTGTATGAGATTGCTTTTTCTTGAATCATTATGTACAAATTGAGAGCATAAATGAAGATGAAAAATCTTGATTACTGCAGCTCTTGGGAGGTGTATATATTACTTAGGTTGATTGCTGGATGCTAGGACTTGACCCTGAAGTAACTCTGTGGGGTTTCTCTGCAGTAAGTGCCAATACCATCTTGTTTAGACATTGGAATGTGCTGCCCAGGGAGGTGGAGGAGTCACCATCCCTGGAGGTGTTTAAGGAAAGACTGGATTTGGCACTTAGAATCAACTGGGTTGGAAAAGACCTCCAAGATCATCGAGTCCAACCCTACTGTGGTTACTAGACCATGGCACTAAGTGCCACATCCAGTCTCATCCTGAAAACCTCCAGGGAGGTTAAATCCACCACCTCCCTGGGCAGCACATTCCAATGCCTGATTACTCTGTCCCTGAAAAATCTCTTCCTAATATCCAACCTAAACCTCCCCTGGCAGAGCTTGAGTCTGTGCCCTCTTGTCCTGCTGCTGGTTGCCTGGGAGAAGAGACCGACCCTCACCTAACTCCAACCTCCTTTCAGGGAGTTTTAGAGGGTGATAAGGTCTCCCCTGAGCCTTCTCTTCTCCAGGACAAACAACTCCAGCTCCCTCAGCCTCTCCTCATAATGCATAACTTAGTGCCATGGTCTAGTCGACATGGTGGTGTTAGGTCACAGGTTGGACTCGGTGATCTCAGAGGTCTTGTCCAACCTTTATGATTCTGTGTTGATCCTTTGAGCACTGTTTAGTAACTCTAAACCAATGTCCTCTTCATGGGATGCACATCTTTGAGCTTTGAAAAACTCCCCAGATCCATAAAAAGATTTAACTTAATCTTCCATTTTTTTGCCAAAGAGCAAGTTCTCTGCCTTAAGTCAGTGTTGTGTGATATTGTGACTAAGGAATAGCTTATTGGAATTACTCTTAATTAAGATGTCTGGGGAAAATGCTCACATTTTTTCTGTTATAAATGGTAGGTAGAACTGTATATTAATTGACTAATTCAAAATGTCAGGATGCTTTTTCCAAGCCAACCTTGTATTAATAGCAGGAATCCTTTTGCTGATGAAATGGCCTCCAATTATCACAGCTTGGGTTTTGTTATACATTGAACAGAAGTCAACAAAACGAGTATGTAAGGGAACCTGTCTAAATAAGCTACCACACTCATTAAAAACACAAAATTAATCATAGGATCAATGAAGAAGGCAACGTTACATACATTTTGTTTCTTCTTCCCCTTTCTAATCATAGAACAAAATAATGTTCCATGAATGAGTCAGAACTATTATGCAGTACTCAATTAGGAGGAGGTGAATGGGTCCCCAACATGCTGTTTGATCAAAGGAGCAGGCTGGTGTTTACATGGTGGCTGTTTGATTGCAGACACACCATTAATTCCCAGTGTCAGGGCTGCCCTGTGGCACAGAGCAGACAATGAAGAGTCACCCTTCAAAACAAGGCAACAATTTTTGTGTTGTTATCAAGCTAAATGGCAAGCAGGAAGCTAGAACTTTGTATAGAGATATTTGAAGGGGCTCTTGGGAGATCTGGAAGGGAATGTACTTTACCAACTGCTTAATTATGGTGTGTTTCTGAGTCCACTTGAATAGAATGCTTTGTTTGCATTGGAAATATGGTTGTGACAAGGTGCATTGGAGTATGTGGGAGGTTCACATAAGGATGTTCAAACATATATAAAAATGCACATTGCGTGCTTGTAATATATCCTCATGGATACAGAAGAATTCTCACTGCCATTTACTGTGTTGAAGCCACTGATATTCTGCCCTGTAGATGTACTACAAACAGTTTCTGGATAGCAAACTGACAGTTTCTGGCACTTCCCTTGCCATATTGTATCTCGCCATAAACAGTAAGTGCAGCTTCAGCTAGCCCAGGTTATCAAAGCACAGCTGAAGTCTCCAAGCAACACAGTGCTAAGTGGGCAAATTGCTGAGGTTGGCAGAGCTGAGACTATTCATTCCAGGTAAGGATCAGCTCTGTGGGCTCTTGTGTGGTACTGAAGTTAGCTGAGTGATGCCTCTTGCAATCCTACCCAAACCTCCCAGACCAAGACCTGTGCATATGGATCTGTCTGGGCCATTGCCTCTGGTATCCAGTATTTCTGCAGATGACTCACTGGGAGGGAAGTTTGTGTCAAGTTCTGGAGTGTGTGTAGTGGGATGTAAAAGTGGAGCTTGGAATGGGAAGTGGCAGAGAAAGAGCTTTGCCTATATTACTGAGAAATTATAGGACTTCTTGACAATGTTTACAGATAGAAGTATCTTTATATGAGGGGAGGCAGGTCCCCACACAAAGGGACCTTTTCTCCTGTGTTTCTCTTTCCTCTTTCTCGAACAATTCCTTTATTAACTATTATAATTTATATATAACCAATAATAAATTGCAACTGACTAGAAAATGTCATTCCATGACTTCAGTCTGCAGTGTTAAATGATGCAACAGAGGACTATGTGTTAGGGTGTTAGGTGGATTTTCTTCTGGGGGGAAAAAAAGTCTTTGCTGTTGGACACAACTCCGAAGCACTCTGGCTTTGCCTTTGGGGGACCCCTGCAGCAGGCAGGCAGGATTCTCATCCTGTTTGGACACTACATCTGCAGTCTTCATGTTCTGAGCCCTTTCAAATCCGATTTCAAGTGTTCTTTTGATCTCTTCTCCACGTAGCTCCAACAGATTCCTGAAAACTCGAGTGCTGTCCTTTGGGCAGAATCTACACGCTGTAGATGGCATTGCCTGAGGGGAGAGGACTCTGTCATTCCTTAAGTAATGTCAAGCTCTCTCAAATCTGTTTAAAGGGAGATCCTGCTCTTCCACACCCACGGAGGGAGACTCCAGCCAGAGTTTGGTCTTGAAAACCTTCTTCCCTGTCCTGCAGCTTCCCGCCAGACCTGGTTAGCCAAACCACAGCAGTTCCTCCAGGTCTAGTTTCTCATGTGGCATCCGTGAGTTAATCATCTGATTGCCACATCTGCACATAGAGGTGCATTTATCTTGCAGGTCTCTGCTTCTTCTGAGAAAAAAAAAAAAAAAAAAAGACTCTTTGAGACTTAATTTAACTGCTTCTTGGCTGTACATGCCATGTAATTCAGATGTTGCCTTTCATGCTGTCCCTGTGGGTGCACTAAGGTTAGATCACCAGCTGTGTACAAGGAAATTTTGTCCTTTTTTTCAGCCAAGGTAGCAGTGCAGACCAGGCAGAGCTGGTTAGATGCCATTGAGTGATAGAGTTTTATTGTGTGTGGCGTGGGAGGGTGGTAGACGTGTGTTAAACCGACAGTTTTACTGGGTTGCCTTTCAAGCAAGGGATAGAGCAACATCAAACCTCTGCTCCTTTATTGAAGGTGATTCCTGAATATTTAGAGGGGTGTTTTTTTCCCCAGCAGAAAATCAAAATGTTATCTTTGCCCTTACAGCTTCTGCCATAATCCACATATAAACGAGGTGATAAAAAGTAAGGATTAAATAAATCTTTGCTAATACTTTTTGATTGGCTTAATCAATAATTAATCATCTCTTAGATGAGGCTGTAGCTTGTGGAGTAGATATAATTGGATTAACTGCTTTTGGAGCTTTGAAGAGATTAAAATGGCTGTAAATCCTGTAATTAAACTGCCACAAACAAAGGCAACAGTGCCAGAATCAGTCAGTGTCTTTTAAACGAATCAACAAGTGCTTAACACACCCCGAGGAGTGGTGGAGGCAGAGTCTGTTCTCTGAACTGATTTATTTCCTTCAGCAAGATGAATATGTATCAAATCATTGTTTTAATTGCTTGGGCCATATATTAGCCAGAATGGCAGGTGGTATTTTGGGGGCAATTGGCTGTCAGAGTACTCTCAGAAGAAAAGCTAGTTTGTGTATCCAAAACTCTGAACCTGCTCCTTGTCTTGAGCCTATTAGACACTGACTTTTCATAGTGTCTTTAATTGGCTAAGTAGGTTTGGCCTACATGAATGAAGTCTTTATCTGTCCTGCTCTTCCCCTCCCACCTATTTGGGAAGGGGCTTTTGTTCCTTTTCCTTCAAAACAGAAGGCTTTAGCGGGAATAACTTCCTTTGGAAGGCTCATTATGTACCAAAGCATGTACTGTACGTGCCTGTATTATACACGTGTGAATTGATACGTGTGCATATGCTAATATATATTCTCTTTGTTGAACTCTCTTGCAGAGATGAGCTGATCAAACCAATGGGAGTGAGGCCGGATGGAACAATGGCTCCTTTGGAAGAAGCAGTCAGCCAGTACCATACCAACAAGCAAGAGAGTTCAGACTCAGACTAAAGCATCACCTGCTTCACTCTCAGTTCTCCTCTAATCCACACTTTTCCTTAGAGCCACAACATCTTTTATCTAGGCGTTTTACCCTCACATTATCCTGCATCACTTTAACTGTTCTGTTGTTGCAGTATTTAAATGATGGATCCTGTGCCGTAGTGTCTGAATTTTTACAGTGTCTGTTTAGAGACCATAGCCATTTATTAGTCTATGATCTTTATTAATTTAAAACTAAGTGTATTTCAAAGGGATGACAAGTGAAAGCCTATAATGTAAAATAAAATACCAACACCTTGATTTTCCAGAATCCTCTTTTCTGAACTCTGTAGGTTTTCCCATTCTTGGTAAGTTTTTGTATTGTCTTGCCAATATTCCTCTTTATATACTGTAATTAACGAAGTGTTTACTTGATGGCATTAGGAGGAGAGGGTGTTTAAACTTAGAAGTCTGATTGACCGTGTGGGGCTGCTTTATCTGGCATTGAGCAGTGATTTCAGAGCCTTTTTAGAATGCCATAGAGTTTCTTACTGCTGCACACTTCTCTGGTTAAGCTGCTGCTTAAGACTTTAACTATGTGTCAGTCACTGACTGCTGCTAAAACTACCTTTAAATTGGGAACAAGATGATGGATGTTGTATGTCTTCATATTCCCTCCCCTCCCTGGTTAAGACCACAGGAATATACCCCCCCACTCCTATCTCTGGTTAAGTAAAAACATCCTGATTTAAAATGGCCTTTGTGTGTGGACACTTAAATGTTGCTGTGAGTGGGAGTGAACTGAAGTGCGTGCGCCAGTGTTTTACTGATTTGGGGCCTACTTGTGGAGATCAATGGGTATGCCTCACTTGGAGGGAAGTCAAACTAGCCAAAAGAGATGTATTTCCTTTTAGGGAGAACTTAGGAAGAGATGGGAGAGAGAGTGGGAAGTTGGGAAGAAGAAAGTGCCACTTTCAATTCTGTACTTTTTTAAAACAGAGATTAAAGTTTTAGGCGTGCTGCACTGCTGTTGTTGCCTCTTTGTCTGCTTGGTTTCTCGTTCTGTGTGTTTCTTCCATGCCATTCCCTGAGAACCTTTCAGAGGTTTGTGGTTTTTTTGCCTATGACTTGACACTGGTTCCCTGAGCTATAGAAGTTGGTGTTCAAACAGCTAGTAAAAGGGGGGGATTTGGTATGGAATTCTGCTGTGATTGTCCATGTGAGGAGCTTCCACAGATCTTAGTCTTTCAAAAGAACTGAAAAGAAAAAATAATGCAGTGCTGTCCTCTCAGCAGTTAGGTTTGTGTTCCCAAAGGACACTGCCCAGCCATAACAATGTTTGTCCCATCCCCCTTACCCCCACAAAAAAAGGGGGGAACAATTGATGTCTCTATGCTGGAACCTGTCTGAATGTTAATGATGTATTGAGTTGTGACTTGCCTTGGGCTGTGTTGTCTGCTGCATGCACATAGAGCATCACAATTGGCTCAGGGTGAAAAGGAAGTCACCCTTCCCACACAGCACTAGCTAAACCACAACAATACTGAATCATACCTCCAAAAGTGGAGTCAGAGAATTTCAGGGGTCGCAATGGAGCTTAGAGATCATCCATCCCCAACCCCCTGCCATGGGCAGGGACACGTCCCACCAACAGGTTGCTCAAGGCTTCATCCAACCTGGCCTTGAACACTGCCAGGGTTGGGGCACCCACAGCCTCCCTGGGCAACCTCTGCCAGTGTCTCATCACTCTCACAGGGAAAAACCTTTTCCTAATATCTTACCTAAATTTCCCCTCCTTAAATTTGTACCTATTGCCCCTTGTCCTGTCACTGCAGCTCCTAACACAGAGTCCCTCTCCAAGGAGTTGTCCAGGAGCAGGAAATACGTTTGGTTGCATCTAAGCTGGGTGTCAAAAAGGTAATTCTGGATTTGGCATAATCCACTGATTACTCTGAGCCCAGCACAGTCAAGTATTAAGTGCCCTGCAGGTGCAAAGGATTTGTGAACCCTCCTCAAGGAGGAAAACTTCCTTAGGTTTGTTAAGGAGGGACTGAGTCCTGTCTTGGTATCAGCTGCAGCTCTTTCTTTGGGCTGGGTTAGTTCTGCAATGGGCTTCTGTGTGGGATGCTGTAGAGGGCTAAGTACAGAGCATGAAAGAGAGCAAAATCTCAATTTGTAGCTTTACAAGCTGTAGAACATGCTCCTACAATTAGCTGGCTAAAGAGATTAATAAAAAAATAGTGGCTCCAGGGGCCTCGTTACACAGGGTACAGCATGAGGCTCTTGTGGTCTGTGTCCCATCGCTTGCCACAAAGTAGGAATATTTGCAATAAACAGTTCTCTTTAGTTTACCTTGGAAAACAGGCTCCTTGGAGGTTCTACACGCATGAGATGCTGCTTCAGTTAATAAGGAGAAAATGAAGACCAAGCATAGGAGGTTCTGCCCAAATCATAGAATCAATAGAGGTGGAAAAACCTCTAAGATCATCAAGTCCAACCCTACTGTGGTTACTTGACCACGGCACTAAGTCCTACATCCAGTCTCACCTTGAAAACCTCCAGGGACAGTGAATCCACCACCTCCCTGGGCAAACCATTCCAATGCCTGATTACTCTCTCCCTAAAAGATCTCTTCCTAACATCTGACCTAAATCTCCCCTGGCAGAGCTTGAGTCTGTGCCCTCTTGTCCTCCTGCTGGTTGCCTGGGAGAAGAGACCAACCCTCACCTGACTCCAACCTCCTTTCAGGGAGTTGTGGAGGGTGATAAGGTCTCCCCTGAGCCTCCTCCAGGCTGAACAACGCCAGCTCCCTCAGCCTCTCATGGCACTTGTTCTCGTGTCCCTTCACCAGCCTCGTTGCTCTTCTCTGGACCTGCTCCAGCACCTCAATATCCCTCCTGAACTGAGGGGCCCAATCCTCTGGCTCAAGAGTGATTGTCCTAACTGGGTCACCTCTAGTGCAGGTTGATGTAGTTAATTACTTGCACTAGTGTAGTGCTCCAACGCATCTCTTGTTCTGTGGTGATAGCTTGCTGCAAGGGTACTACAGGAGTTTTGGCTTGCTTTTGCAATGTGACATAGGTCCATCCTTAGCTGCACTGGCTAGAGATCTGGGAATACTTTGGGACAAAGGTCCTTCAGCCCAACAGTGCATCTGCTTCCTTTCACTCTGTGTGGTGTCTCTTCAAAGTAACCATGTGTGTGGGGTGGTTTCTCAGATGGGAGTCAAGAAAAGTGTGTATTTGGTAGTTAAAAAGAAAATTAAGGAGCTCCCTGGAATTTTTTGTTTACTGTGAAATTGACATTTGCTCCTGAATTTATTTTCAAAGGTGACTCTCCGAAATTGGAAGCTTGGGCAACTGAGCCTTACTTAAACATGGGCAATGAGGCTGCTCAGAGTGGGGAATGCTCTCCCTTTCCTCCCCAGCAGAGAACAGATGTGTCATCTGCATTGGAGGGAGTGTTGCACTATCTGATGTGACCGTGAGCATCTGCTGCAACATACAGTGTTGCAATACCTGGGAGCCTCAATGGAGAGCTGTGAAAGGTTTGCTGTCTCTGCTAGCAGTAGATGTGATAGAGTTCATCTATATGTATCTGGTTCTGTGATTTCATTCCACAGGGTAGGAGTTATTCTGTATGAAATATGGATGGTATTTGACAATGCTTTTCAAATAATTCAGGAAGCATGGACTCCAGATATAACTCAGAATTACAGGAAGATGGACCTTGATATGTGGCCTCATGAAGTTTAAGAAAATGAAGTGCAAGGTCCTACATCTGGGCCATGGCAATCCCAGGCACAGCTGGAAGTTGGGTGGGGAAGTTATTGAAACCAGCAGTGAGGAGAAAGACTTGGGAGTGACAGTGGATGAGAAGCTCCCCATGAGCTGCAGTGTGAGCTCAGCCCAGAAAGCCAATGGAACTCTGGGCTGCCTCCAAAGGAGTGTGGGCAGCAGGTCAAAAGAGGTGATTCTTCCCCTCTACTCTGCTCCCATGAGGCCCCACCTGGAATACTGTACACAATTCTGGTGTCCTCAACATAGGAAGGACATGGAACTGTTGGAGCAAGTCCAGAGGAAGCTACAAAGCTGATAAGAGGACTGGAGCATCTCCCCTGTGAAGACAGGCCGAGGGAGTTGGGGCTGTTCAGCCTGGAGAAGAGAAGGCTGTGTGGAAACCTCAGAGCAACTTTTCAATATCTGAAGGGCCTACAAGGAGCCGGAGAGGGACTCTGTGTTAGGAACTGCAGTGACAGGACAAGGTGTAATGGATTCAAACTGGAGGATGGGAAGTTTAGGTTAGGTATTAGAAAAACGTTTTTTCCTGTGAGGGTGGTGAGACACTGGCAGCGGTTGACCAGGGACGCGGTGGCTGCTCTGACCCTGGCAGTGTTCAAGGCCTTGAGCAACCTGATCTAGTGGGGAGGTGTCCCTGCCCAGTGCAGGGGGTTGGGACTAGATGATCTGTAAGGTCCATTCCAACCCTTAAATTCTATGATTCTATGAAGATAAGGTATTGAGTTGAAATTGCTCTTTATTTAGCTTCCCTCCTTCCTGCCTCATCTCTTCCCACAAAGTTAGTTACAGTCAGGGGCCATAGTACATCCAAGCAATCTCTTTCGAGGTTGCAAATGCAGGACTGACATTTGCAGCTAGAAAGAACCAAATCCTCAAGCAGCCTCTTTTGTAGCTTGTTTTACTTGCGTGGGTTTTATCCTTTAGCTGTGAGCCAGAATTGTCTCTAGTCAAGTGGTCTTTGTGTGTGTCTTTTCTTTTGTGTTCTGCAGGAATACAAGGGAATGGTCATAAACTTAGGGGAGCTTCAGCTTAGATGTTGGGAAAAAATGTTTTCCCTGTTAGGGTGTTCAGGCACTGGAATATTGCCTAGGGAGTTGGTGACATCACCATCCCTGGAAGTGTTTAAGAGGTGTCTGGGTCTGGCACTGCAGGATATGGTTTAGGGGCTCCAGCAGTGACAGGTTAATGGTTGGACTCGATGGTCTTAGAGGTCTCCTTCAGCCTTGACGATTCTATGATACAACTGCATACTTCATGTTTCCCCCAAAGCACTTGAGTAAGAAAACACGGTAATCAGAAAAAGGGACCCTTCTGAGTAGGTTTTCTAGGGGTGACAGTGAAGTTGTCAGCCAGTGAGTTTCAGAGACATGTACCTTTCCTTCCCCAAAAACCTTTCACAGTCAATCCCAAAACCAAGAACTTGGATTTCAA